CCGCTCCCCCGCCTTCCTCCCCTCCCGGCCGCCGCTGCTGCTGCTGCTCCCTCCCCTCCGCCGTCCGCGCGCGTTTAAGGCGCCCGCCAGCCGCCTCGTCGCTGCTTTATAGCCTGCGCCGACTCGATGAGCTCACCGCGCGCGCCTCCCATTGGCTGTAGATGACGTCTGGCGAGGAAGGAGATTAGCATAGGGGCGGGAGGGAGCGACAGCCACGCCTCCTCCCTGCTGGCGCCCCTGTCACCGAGGCGACCGGCTCCGTAAACTGCACAACAGCGCGCGGCCTCTTGGGCTGATGTCACCGAGCCACGTGGTGTTTGCGCAAGGGCGGGGCGGACAGCTGCGCTCGGCTAGGAGCAGGGAGGGCTCTGGTGTATTACTTAGCCGTTGTAGTAGTAGTAGTAGTAGTAATGATTGCACTTCTCCAGGTACAGAGAGTTGTACACTGATTAGAAACAACATGCTGGCCTGGGTAGAGCAAACCTGTCGGATCAGGCCCGCCATTCCAGGATCCTGGAGCTGACAAGAATTCCTGCAACTGTCAGGTTGCCAACTCTGTACTGAAAGTACCTGGCGACCTGGAGTGGAGCCCTGGAGTTCAGCTTTGGGTATCTCCAGTTAAAGAATCTCAGAGAGCAGAAAGGCCTTTCCGTTTCTTAGATTGAGGAGAGCCACTGTTATTCAAAGGAGCCCAGGGAGCACGGGGATTGGGGACAGGAGGGACCTCAGCATGGTTTTATGCGCGTTTATGTCCAGCCCCATCTATGCCAGGGACCATCACGACATCCTTGGACAGCCAGTTCCAGGACGCATTGCCCAAAAAGGACCTCACCTGTGCCTGCCTGCCCTCAGATAACAATTGTGTGATCCCCAAGTGCATTAAAGGTAAAGGTTCCCTTGCTTGAAAGCCAGTCGAATCCGACTCTAGGGTTGCGGTGCTCATCTCCGTTTCAAAGCCGAAGAGCCAGCGCTGTCCGAAGACGTTTCCGTGGTCATGTGGCCAGCATGACTAAACACCAAGGCGCACGGAACGCTGTGACCTTCCCACCGAAGTGGTACCTATTTATCGACTTGCAATTTCTTGCTTTCGAACTGCTAGGTTGGCAGGAGCTGGAACGAGAGACGGGAGCTCCCTCCATCATGCGGCACCCGGGTCTCGAACTGCTGAACTATTGACCTTCCACAGCCTGCAGTTCAGCGTCTTAACCACTTGAGCCATTAGTGCTTATTAATTTTGGGAGAGGAAGAGCAAGGTCTCCAGATGTGTACCTCTGTCTATTTTTCTAAGCCTTTCAACCAATAATTAGCTTGTTCGCTTTACCGTGGAAGGAGGGCAAGGAGGGTCAGAGCCTCAAGGCTTGGGGGTGCCCCCCTGGGTTTGCTCAGGCCAGAGGAATTCCCCTCTGTGGGCCAGAAGAGAACCTCCAGGGGTCCCCCGGCTGAGGCCCGTCTGGGCCTTACAGGCTTCACTGGAGCACCTGGGGGCCTGCCTCCCCCTCCCGGAAGCCTATCGGGTCGGAGGTACAGAGGGAGGGGTTCCCCTAGGAAGGGGGGAAAGGGAAGGTTAACTGGGAGCAGATGTGGGGGCTGGCAAGGGGCCAGTCTCTGGCAGCAAACGCCAAAGCCTGCGGCTCTCCAGACTGAGAATCAGGCTGAAGCATGCAAAGGCGTAGAGCGTCCTTTCAGACCAGTTGTATGGCGGGCTGGAGAGCTCTCCACTGAAGCACCAGCAGCCTGCACAAGAGCCTTTCCTTTGGATTTTGGCCTGTGGTGGTGCCAGTAAAAGGCACAGGTCCCAGAATTGCTGTCCAGCCATCCTTTGGAGCTCGCCCCAACATTAACCCCCCATTTACCTTCTCCTGGGTAACACAGCCACGGGTAGGTACCAGTGGAGGATGAGGGGGTGTGGCCCAGCAGCAAAGCATGTATGTTGCGGGTGGAAAGCCTGGAGTTCAGCTTTGGGTATCTCCAGTTAAAGTCCGTCAGAGGTCCATCATTGGCTATTAGCCACACGGTATAGATAGGGGCTCCGGGGCAAGTGATGCTCTGTCTTCTTGGTGCTTGGGGGGGGGGGTCAACAGTGGGCGGGCTTCTAATGTCCTGGCCCCACTGGTGGACCTCCTGATGGCACCTGGTATTTCTGGCCACTGTGTGATACAGAGTGTTGGTCTGGATGGGCCTTTGGCCTGATCCAACATTGGCGTCTCTTATGTTCTTAATCTCAGAGAGCAGAAAGGCCTTTCTGTTTCTTAGATTGTGGAGAGCCACTGTTATTCAAAGGAGGCCATTCCGAACCAGATGGGCCAAGATTTCACCCAGTGGCTGGCATGTGGTTCTGGGTTTGGTTTCCGACATGTTCCATTCAGGGATTCCAGGTGGCAGAGGCTGGGGAAGACCTTTCTCTGCTTGAGAACAGAGCAAAGCTGTGGCCAGCCAGAGGAGCTCAGACTGAGCTAGGTGGGCCACGGTGGATCACTCTTGGCATGAGGTGGCTTCATTGTTCATAGCTCAGTGGTGGATCTCCCGCATGCAGAAGATCCCTGGTTCCTGCCCCGCTGAAGGCTCTGCAGTAATGGCTATGGGGAAATGCCTCCTTCCCAGAGGCCTCTAAGCAGCAATACTGGGCTAGACAGAAGGGTGCCCTGACCCAGTTATCAGACAGCCTGGTTTGCTTTTGTGGCACAGCTCTGCCCTCCCCTTCAAAGGTCATCCTGACTTGTGGCCTGAACGTCCATCACCAAGGGAGAGACTTGCTGAAGACTGACCACTGGGAACGCAGAAAGCTCCTTGTAGATTCCTTGCATCTGTTCACAGTGAGCTTTGCTCCTGCGCCTCTGAGCATATTCTGGGTACCTTCCTCGGCTAACCGAATGATTCCCACGTGCACATAGGCACCACATCTCAGTCAACAGCTGGAGCAGAGCTAGGCTTGCCAAACTCGAGGTGGGGCCTGGAGATCTCCCAGAATTACGACTGATGTCCAGTCAGAGGACAGAGATCAGTTCCCTTGGAGGAAATGCCAGAAGGTGGGCTCTATAGCATCATTACCCCGCTGAGTTCCCTCCCCTCCCCAGACCCCATCTTCCCCAGGCTCTGCACCCAAATCTCCAGGAATTTCCAATACAGAATTGGCAACCCAAGCAGAGGTCACTTTGGACACTTTTGTTAGCACTCAGTGGCCAACTCCCCCCATCAGAGCTTCTGTGCCTTTTAAAAGTCAGCAGTTCAGCGGCCTCCGCGCCGGGGCGTGCTGATCTGTGCAAAGCTCCTGAGCCACTAAAGACACAGGAGCCTTATGGGGGGGAATCACAGGCAGCCTCTCTGGAGGCCAGCACTTGTTTGTGGAGAGGACTGAGAGCAAAAGCGATTCCAGCTGCAGCGGCGGAGGGAGCCAGCGGTGGGTGTTGGTGTTTGTTTCCCCGTGGCTGAATCACTGGAGCTTGGCCTTTTGCGATGGGAGGAGAGGACAGCCCGGCTGGTGGTTGGGCATCCTTGAGCAGCTGGGAGGGGTGTGCTCTCTCTCCTGCCCCCCCCAGGCCCCACTCCTCCCTCCCCCAGTGAGGTCAGGTTCCTTACAGGGCCTCTCAGCCAAGAGGTTCGGCTCCTCCTGAAGTCCTCACGCCAGCTGAGCACAATGCCTCTCCCTCCTGCCTGGCTGCCCGGAATGCCAGACAGAGGGCCACTGGCTGCCTTTCACCAACCCCGGCGTGCTAGACAGGCAGAAACGGAGCCACAGAACTTCTCCTTATTTGAGAATAAACACGGCCTTTAGGCAGATGGATGGCACACCCGCTGCTGGGAATCCTGTGCACAGTTCTGGTTGCCTGGCCTCCAAAAAGAGCTGGGAAAGGTGCAGATAGAGGCTGCCCAACCGGTCCAGACCTTGGAGCACCTGGCCAATGGGGGGGGGGCTTTTCACTTTGGGGGGAAAGGTGACTGGAGGGGTTTATCAAATGCTGCCATCTGTGGCCAGTGGTGCCCTGAGGGTGGAGTTTCTGGGCCCTCAGCTGTGGCTTATTATTTATTTATTTATTTTATTTGTCTTCTATCCTGCCCTCCCCGCGGCAGCAGGCTCAAGGCGGCTCACAACATTATTACTGATAAAACAATTTCTCAGCTAAAATTTTTTGTTGTTGTTGTGAAGTTTGCTCAATTTCATGTTCGTTGCGTCTATGACACTGTCTAACCATCTCATCCTTTGCCGTCCCCGTCTTCTTTGACCTTCAATCTTTCCCAGCATCAGGGTCTTCTCCAGTGAGTGCTCCCTTCTCATTTGGTGGCCAAAGTATTTGAGCTTCAGTTTCATTATCTGGCCTTCCAGGGAACAGTCAGGGTTGATTTCTTTTAGGATTGACTGATTTGATCTTGCAGTCCAAGGGACTCTCAAGAGTCTCCTCCAGCACCATAGTTCAAAAGAATCTATTCTTCGGCGCTCGGCCTTCCTTATAGTCCAACTCTCGCAGCCATACATGACTACTGCGAATACCATTGCT